GCTCGAACTCGCCGAGTACCACAATGGACTCGCCGAGTTTAGGCCTACTTGCCGAGTCAACTATTGGAACTCGCTGAGTTCATCAGGCAAATGGACAAAATCGACTTTTGCAATCAACAAGCAATCAACCATCACATCAATTCAATAGAAACCAATCAAGACTCTGATACCACTGATGGGTTTGAGCCATAAGAACTTTCCTATGTGCACATGCAAACCCCAATGCTTGGATCTAGGTTTCTCTAATTAAACATGCAATGTATCCAAGACTTTAATTGATAGATCTAGTGTAAACATTCAAATTCATAACATATGAAATCAGATCTAAAGGAATACCTTGAGTTGCTTGCTTGATTCTTCTTGTCTATGAAGCTTAGAGTCATAATTATCACTCCTCTAATGGCTTACAAACACCAACTAGCAAGAGGATGATAGGAGAGAAAGAGGAGGGTGAGAAAATCGGCCTAGGGTTACTCCAATCACAAAGGTGCCGATTTCCTCAACCTCACGGGTCTATTTATACTCATGAGCTCCTAGGGTTCACCCTAAAACCATAATTAGATAACTTAGGCCCTAAGCAATCCAATGATCCTTATAGATTAGGCCTTGGATGATTTCTAGGCTTTTCCAAAACCTAAAATCGTCCACCCTCTTATCCATAATGATTCATAGCCCAAAATACAACTATCACACATTTGACAGTTTATGCCCCTTTATTCAATTAACCTCTTTAAGTCACCAAATTAATTCCTAATTAAATTATGACACATATTAATCAAATAACAATATTATTATTCCCTATATTATTCTCATAATATATTAATAATATTTCTTCTCTCATTACAAATCATCCTGTCAAGTTGCTATGGTGAAGGCAACCCAAAAGGACCATGCACACCAAGGTCAAATACTTGCCAAATATAGTTATAGCCTTAGACACTATTCCAACAAAATGTTCCCTTTAAATTGTGTCATTGGGTGTTAGAGAAGTTAGTTATTTTGTATATTGATGAGATAGTTAAGTTATATATTTTTGGTTGGAACTGTGTTGGAATGAGGTAAGGGAAAAACAAATGGTTAGACTCGAGCTTGTCCAACAAACTACCACTAAAATTTAGTAAATTATGGATAAATGGAGGATTCATAGGAACAACCAAAATGTTAGGTGGTTAAACGTAGGAAACCAATAGTGTTTTGTGAAGATAAAGTCATGTTGAACGGATTCTCAGGGAAATACATAATGCAGATTTGTAAAGGTAGGTTTAGTCTCCGACCTATTGGGCCTTCTTAAAGGTCGACTCAGGGTGGCTTATTGATTGGAGATACTAAGGGATTGAATGCAACATTAGAAAGCGAACAAGATATGAAGACCAAATATCCATATTTGTTTACTGAATACCAATTCCGAGGACGTACTTTTTCAAGGGGCGCGGGGGGGGGGGGGGTGAGTTTGTGATAACTCAAATAAAAAATGTATAAATACATATGATTTTACTATATTATTAAAATAATATAATAGGTGATTCATTCGGAGTAATTGAGTTTAATTAAGAAAAATAATGAGACTTAATCATAAAACCCATCACCTTCAGTAGAAGAATTAAATTCGAGCAAATGAAGAGGTTTCATCAATTATAAACTTAGGAATTATATATATTTTGAGAAATCAATTGAAAATCCCATTGGAATTTCAAACAACGGTGAAGAAACGAAGGAGAAATCGGAGCTAAAAGTTCTTATATTTTTTGGAGATTTCTAGCAAATTAAGGTATGATTCTTTGATTTTAACTTGGTATAGTCCTTTGATTAGGTTTATACATCTATACTTCATGTTTTGGTTCCATTTAATGTCTCTAATCGGGCCACTAAGTGTTTAATTGATGATGATTTTGAAGTGTTTTGATTTTTGGTAAAAAGCTTGAATTCATATAGATTCTATTTCTAAAAATATGGGTACATGTTAGCAAGAAGTCGAGATGATTAATGGTGGTTTTATAAATTAATTTTATATAGGTTCTCAAGTTTCAAAGTATTAAAAACATATGTTTGTGTAACTTATTTTTAAATATTTAAGATACAAAAATAAGCAAAAACTATTTGTAGCAGGTGTAGGCATTTCCACTTGGACTCTTGTTCGAGGCCTGTTACCTGGAGTTTTAAGAGCGGTACCTTTGGTTTTATGGAATTTTAAGAACAGTTAGGTAGTGTTTGTTTTTTGTCTGCAGATCTGCGAGACGTCTTCTGTCTGCGCCGAGCAGACCACGCGCAGACATTAGTCTTCGCAGACTGTTTGTTTTTTTGAAGACTGCAGACCTAAAAATATCTGCGCGCCCTCTTCTTGGCGCAGATGTGGACCAGAGTCTTCTAACATCTTCAGACATCTTCTAGCTTAAAAAACATATATATCTTTATTTTTTTAAGTTTTTTTTTTAATTTATATTTTTTCCAACTTTATTAATGATAAACAATATGAAAAAAAAAATTACAAAACTTAAAAAAAAAACATTTGACGATACAAACATGATATTTTTAACAAATTTATAAATAAAAATTTATTATAATAATAGTCGTTGAAGTTGTTTATATAAATATGAAAAAAAAATCATAATATATTCTTATATTTTTTTGCCAAAATTTTGTAAAACTTTATTTAATAGAGTATCATCAATTTCTCGAGAAAATATTTATCGTACGTTTTTAATAGATTTATTTGAAAAAATCGAAGTTTATTTCCATCTATTTATGTATCAAATTCTTTGATCACTAATTATAATGTTTAGTTATAACTTTGCAATCAAAGTTGTTGGTTTTTATCAAATATGTATATGAATTAATACCATTTTTATTTTTATTTTTTATATAATAATACATAAAAGTTGATCTAGATTCGTTATATATTTATAATAAAGTCGTAAAAATATATAAAAAAATTCGCTTTGAAGTTTTAAAAAATCAGTTTATTTAGATTTCAGTTTATTTTAATAGCCCGCAGATGTTAAAAAAACAAACAGTCTTCTTTTTTCAGACTGCAGACGTTTGGTCCACCTCTTCTACTACAGAGATCTACAGATGTGGTCCGCAGACTGCAGACATTTTGCCTCAGAAAAAACAAACAACACCTTAGTCTGGTTTTAATGAGCTGCTAATTCTTTCCATGTTACTTAATTTCAAAAGTTTTCACAAATAGTCCCTGAATTGCTAACAACTTGACAATTTTAATTTCTTTTAAATCTCGTGTTTAGGATGGAAACGGAAGTATAAAAAATGGTTTATAAGCATGTTGATTATTATTATTATTATTATTATTATTATTATTATTATTATTATTATTATTATTATTATTGTTGTTGTTGTTGTTGTTGTTGTTGTTGTTGTCTTTTTAACTATAATTTTTTGTATTTTAAAGGTTTAAATGTTTTGATTTCGAGTATAAATTTGAAGGGTCAAACCTTATTAATATGAGAATTCATAAAAAAAGAAAAAAAGCTAATAATATTTTTATTAAAATTGTTACGAACATTTTAATTAATGTGATGAAGTAATTATTGGTTAGCCGAATGAGACATATATGTGATGGAACCGAAACGAGCACGTTGGATGTTTTCTAGGACGATTGCCTTAGAAAATTTATTCATGGGATGTAGGGTGCAAATTAACAATAAAGTTTCGGTTAAGACTTAGGGTAAATTACATCGTTGGTCCCTCGTGCACATGTCAGAAAGCGTGTTTAGTCCCTATTTCCAGAATTTAACTCGGGCAGTCCCTCATTGTTATTTATCTTGCACGGTTAGTCCCTATGCACGTTAACTGCTAAATCCTTCCGTTTAAGCTCCCCACGTACCTTGCACGCAGGGACATTTTCGTCTTTTCAGTGTTTGTGTCCATTCTTAATGCTGTCGCACCTTAAAATCTTATAAAACACTGCAACCCTGTTTTCCTCTGCTATCCTCTCCTTCGTCTCCTCCCCTCATTTGATCGATTTCTTCCAAGTAGATAACAATGATCGATATTAAATGCAACTGTGGAGCCACTGCAGTGATTCACACATCTTATAACAAAAGAAACCCTGTGAAACTCTAATATGCTTGTACAATAAAGGTAAGGTTAATGGTTTTAATTTCGTTCTTCATCTTCTCTAATTTTGCCCTAATTCTTCATCTACTTTAATTGGTTCAGGGACCATTATGCAAGTTCATAGGATGGGTGAATGATTATGATCAGGACTGTGATTGTATGGCGTTTATGATGAAACTTGAAGATAAAAATCGCAAATTGAAGCTTTACCTAGTTATTAGTTGGGGTTTTTTTTTTTGTTTCAGTCCTTATATATAAAGTGTAGGTTTAGTAATGAAGTTGTTAGTATTTTGTATTGTTATTTGTATTATGAAAAAACCTTCAATTCCAATTACAATATGTTGTGTAATCATAATGTGGTGTTATCAGTTTGTGTTCAAATTTAATGAAAATGTGGTATTTACAACATATGCAATATACCATTCAATACATTTTGCATCCAATATAACAATAAAAAAGGACAAAACTTAAAATATCCAAGATAACCATTTACCATTAACATAAAGGGACATCCAAAATAGAAACATAGTGTTATGGCATACAGATAATTATCCTAGATAACAACAAAGTATCTAAATACAAAACATAACAACAAAGTAATATGGCAATAAATGCCTAACAAAAACATAGTTATCCTTCATGATCATGATACCAAACTACAAATTCTCAAAGCATGGGGCTTTTCCCTTATTCCCAACTCCTTTTTTACACCACCACTGCTACCTGCTGAACCTTGACCTGTATTTTCTCCTACACTCTTGTTAACTCTTACATTGCAACCTTATACACCTTCTCATGTTGTATTCCCTATTGTTTCTTCTCTTGTTCCATTCCTAATCTGTGATTGTCCCTTGCAGGTCCTTCCATTATGGCCCATATCTCCACATTTTGTGCATGTTACAGATTTCCATTTTGTGGACACTCCATCATCTTCTATTACAGATCTTCTTCACTTTTTTTGGTTTGCCAATAGGGACACGATACTTTGGTGGTATCAACTTGGTAGGACATGTGCTTTTTTCCCACAAAAACCTCCCATTAATAGGTTCAACTTTGAATACATACATTTCTTTCCAAGTCTTGAGAAAATATGTTGGGTGAACCCATGTCTCAGGTATTCCAACATTTTCATTGTTGAGCCTCATATCCCATATATCTACTATAATATGTTTGCAGGGTATGCATGTCAATTCCCACCTATTACATAAACATGTTTGTTGTTCCATATTAACCACACACTGATTAGTACCTTCACTTGTAACTTGGTACTTCCCATTACCACAGAACACTGCCCTACATTTTACTGTCCTTTCTTTAATTTTTTGAAGGGTCTTAGTGGCTATAGGAGTTAATGGGCCATTAGATTTGTCAATTTCTTTTTGAACCATGACAATTTTCCTCATGATATACTCCCTATTAAACTCCAAGCAACTGATAATTGGCTTATCACGACCCTTCACTATTTTTCTATTCAAACTCTCACATATATTATTCAACAAAGCATCACAATGTGCCCTCCGTAATAAAACACAATTGTATTAGATTATATTTAAAAATTATACACTTATCAACATAATATTATATACCTGAGAAGTGGGATCTGGACCAGTGCTTAGGTGGAATAGAATTAAGACAGTCATATGCTTCACTGTTAAGTTTCTTTAGTTCTTCCATGACACTGTTGAATTGTGGTATGGTGGTACATGTTCCATAATTCCAAAGACCATCCTTGAATTCCTTGCCCCTCCATTTACGTTTCATGTTCTCATGAAGATGCCTTAGGCAATATTTATGCTCTGCTGTTGGGAAAAGTTTCTCAAGTGCATGCAATAACCCCTAAATCATCAAAAGAGTGAAGTTGCTTGTTGAATTGTAAAACATGCAGGTGAAATGAATGGAGAACCTTATTTACCTTCTATCGATCTGATATGAAAGTGAAGTTGGAGTTTGCATACAAACCAATATCATCTCCCAAGTTAGTTAAAAACCAGGTCCATGAATTAAAGTTATCTGTTTCAACAACTGCATATGCCAAAGGATATGTGCAATTTTTCCCATCTAAACCCTAAATTATCATGTCAAACATAGTAATAAGAAAACAATTAACTATGGTCAAACATTAATGAAATACTAAAATATAATTATGCACATACCACTACTGTCAGGATCATATCATGGTATGGACCCTTCATCAATGCACCATCAAGCCCTAGTAAATCTCTTTTCCATGCTTTAAATCCAATTTTTAGCAGACCAAGACAAATGTATACTCATTTAAATACCCTAGTCTCAGATGCATAACATGGTTCACTTTGCACTTGAAGTTTGACTGTGGTGTTTGGATTTCTACTCTGCACCTCCTGTAAGTAGTCTTTCAAACACGAGTACTGAGCAGCAAAATCTCCCTTAATTGATTCCAAGGCTTTCGTTTTCGCTCTATGAACTTTCATGTCTGACAATCCAACATGGTATTTCTTCTCAAGCATCTCACATAATGCTCTAAGTGGTATTTCTGGGTTTGACTCCATTGTTTCAACAATCTGTTCAGAGAGAAACTTGTAGTTGCATGCCCGAATTTTCCTTGTTTGAAGACATGTATGTTGCTTTTCATAAGTCTTAACAGTCCAGTTATTGTCTTTTTTCCACTTATTCACTAGTAGGACCCATGTGCATTTATGAATAGAACCATCTTTGACTTTCTTTTTCTTTTGACTTGGTCCCACTTTGTCATTACTTTTGTTGGTCCCGCCCGTTTCTAATATCCCAAGGTTTGGTATAGTCCCTTTACAAACCACTCTAATCCTATTTTTGTCATTCTTAACGAAGTCTAACTCCCTTCTACTCTGTATGGAATGAAGATAAATTTGTTGTTTAACTTCCTTGGTTGTGTTAAAATTCTGGTGGATGTAAAATGGATCTTTGACAACAGCTGCTTCATTCTTATGTGCTCTTTGTAAATCTCTTATCTTCTTCCTTTTTTTACTAGCTTCACCCTTATCTGATGAAGATGCAGATACTAATTCTTCAATGTCTATAACCTCTAGTTCTTCATCACCTTCTACTGCTTTATCTCGATCATCAGGAAAACTTCCAACCTACTCCACCTCTTTGTCAACATTGAGGTGAAAGTTCTTCATATCAACCTCTGGATTATCTAACAAATTATCTTCATCAACTGTGTAATCACTATCTTGACTATCTTGACTATCTTCCTTGTCTTCACTATCATGATTGTCTTTACTAGCTTGAATGTCTTCACCTGCTTTTTCACTATTTGGTTCATTTAGTTCCTTAGGAGTCCCACCAAAAGGTTCACACCATTCAAATGTATCATACTAACCATCAACATTAGGACATGTGCTTCCCATCATTGGTTAAGTCAAAGGGCTTTTAATTCTTGGTATATAGGTAGGGGTTGACTCAACTATTTCACTCAATGTAACAGGGGGTTGTTCCAAGGTTGTTTCAGGTAATGTACTAAGGGGTTGGTCCATAGTTTCTAAATTCTCAAAAATAGGGGCTTCTTCACTAGGACCATCCCCTGAATTTGACCATGACAATAACAACCTTTTACGACAAAAGGACTGAAATTTCATGTATCTTTATGTTTGTAGGGTTTGGGGACATTTGATACGTATGCAACTTGGTTTCCCAAAACTCTATATACACTTGTATCACCTTGTGTTCATAAACATATGAACTAAGGTGGTTTATATCTTCGTCACAGCCCAAAGCATACAATCCAAAATCTAAATCCCAAGTTGGTTGTTTGAAATGGTAGTAAATACTTTTACCTGGTTCCACACAATCAAGCAATTCCATTATCGCATCCATATCATGCACCGAGAACAAGTCACTATCAATGCTATCAATATATTTCATATTCCCCTTTATGTATTTGCGGCCTGGAAACTTCGTAAAAACTCCACCATAGTTCAATCATATCGAGAACATAGATGGATTGTCAACTGCGAACCCAAAAAATAAAATAAAAAAATTTAATTTTTTTTTACGTTTAGGAATGTATAATGGATGATTAACTGAGCTTGTAGAAAATTTTACCATATGAGCTTTGTAGATCGTATTCCTCCCATTCTTGCCTAATCCTCCAGTTCACCATCGTAGAAAACTAGAGTTGTCTTGTGCAATGCTAAGGGTCGACGGAGGATGAAATGAGAAATGATCGGTTGTCGAATTCGCGCCATAATGGTTCATGTATACAAATCGTGAAAAGATGAAAATGCCCCTGCGTGCAAGGCACGTGGGGAGTTTAAACGGAAGCATTTAACGGTTAACGTGCATAAGGACTAACCGTGCAAGATAAATAACGAGGGACTGTCCGGCTTAAATTTTGGAAATAGGGACTAAACATGTTTTCTGGCATGTTCACGAGGGACCAACGGTGTAATTTACCCTAAGACTAATCAGTTGCAAGGTAAGTTTTTTCACTTTCTGTGCTCGCACATAAATATTTATCATGCGCTTATTATGTGGATTTTATTTATTTATTGACAGTATGTTTTATAATAAGTATGATTGCGTGCAAATGTTATTTTGGACTTATTATCTACTGTGTGTATTTTTGAGTGACATGTTTAGCAGGAACATGTCGGGTGTTTAATCGCCGTGAGCATGACGGATGTGTGTGATCTGCGGAGATGAGAATTAAGAATTATACTAATTTCCTTGGATATTTAAAATACTTGAGTAAAATGGATGATGAGTTGTCTCAAGGAGAAGGGAAATGAATATTTTGTTCATTCTATGGATAATTAATTGTTCCCCTAAATTATGTCATCGAGTGATATGTTTTGTTATATGATTATTGAACGTATATGATAAAAATATTTGTTTTTTTAAGTGATGGACATGCATGTGCAACACGAACTCACTAGGCTAGAGAGAATGATTGATCAACAAGACTAAAAAAGAGTTACTCAAAGATGTAACACCCAAAATTCTTCGGGTGAAGACTATATTTTATTTTATTTGCTTCTACAATAGTTTTAATCAACAATTAGGTTTTAGAATTGATCTTGGGAGATGTTCGGATAATTATATTTTCCATATTTATTATCCTGAAAATTGGGGTGTTACACTAGGGGCGGTGCTTTTTTGACACAAACTTCTTGCTTCTTCTTTCTTCTTAAAAGATTATTGGAAAATGTTTGTGTTTTATATTTTTTGTGTTGAAATCAAAATTTGACGATAACTCAATTTTTGTTTAATTTTTTTATATTACTGTTTTTGTATTGTTATTAGCAATTGACGATAACTCAATTGATTGTGTTTTTATTTTTAAATATTATTAAAAAAGAAACCGTATGACATCATCTTAGATATTTAGGGACATTGATTGTAATTTGATCACATATTTTCTACCATTAGTTCACTTTGTGACATCACCTACCAAAGTTTTGATAAAAACTCTTTTTTCCATCAATCGTTAGCACGTCTAAAGGTAACTTATGTTGTTACCTTTAATACCCGTTCAATTTTCATAATCCCTATCCTAATAAAATAATAGTTTTAATCTCCTTTTTTACACGTATCATCCTATTAGACCTCCTAATTGATGCATATTTTATTCTTCTTTTATCATTTGTCACCCTATTAGGTTTCCCAATTAATGCATGTCACATATCAATATGTTAATTCTTAATTTTAAATTTTAAAATTTAAATTTCTCACTCTAATTACATTAAATTAATAACATTAGAATAAAAATTAATACAAATTATAAGGTGATATAATTTCGCATATTTATTTAAATTAACAATTATAATTTTATATAACTAAAAAATATCTCTTAATTAATAATTTATTTAAAATAATTGATTAATAATTTTGAGTTCTCATTATAAAAGTTTAATTAATTTTGTAACCGTGATTCCCATGAGTTATAAACTAGTATAGATTATATCAAATCCCATAAAATCAACAGTTTAATAATCATAACTTTTGACCTCCATTTAATGAGGAATTTAATATAATGAAGGAAGTGATTGTTAATTCAAACAAGATATATATTCCGTAATTAAAAGATTAAATAATATCCTACATATCGGCTGTTACTTTTCCTAAAAATCTGCATACAAATCCATAGATTAAATAGATAACTTAAAATCCCTTAACAAAGCAGTAGATAAATTTACATTTAAAGAATTTGCATCTTTTTTCTACTAAAATCATAGATAAAGATTATAGCTGTATATAATCGTTAACAAATCATTTCCTGAATATAATCTTTTTGTGATTTATCACTTTTTATATATTCCTTTTCCAACTCTTTTTTTTCAATTCCATCATTTGATCGACTTATTGCAATTAGGATCCCAATATTCATGTTTCTGTCAAAAAAAGTTTAATAGCTTAAGTAAATCCACGATATTATTGCCCCTTCATTATAAATCATTTTTTTCTGTATTGTTTGAATTTAACGTATCATTATCACAAACTTTATTTGTTTTTGGATAATTCTTTCTCTTGTTTGGATCATGATCCGGCTTTGTTTATTGGGAGTAAGAATAGTTATGAAACTTTTATTTGCAAATAGAAAAGGAGCAGAAAGCTAAACCTTAAATGTAATCTTGAGTGGCTTGTCAACAAAAACAAAAAATTTGCAATATATATATATATATATATATATATATATACTAGCAACGTACCCGCGCAATGCGGCGGCGCGAGATACTTCGTTTCCATACGACGATTATTTTCTTTTTTGTGTCGGATAGAGCTTTTTGGTGGGTTGTTTTGTATCGGATAGTCCTTTCGGTGAATGACTGCTAGCTAGGTAAGTAGATGGGGGGCAGAATATTTTCCTATCTGGTGTAATCTATTGCTTTGGGTTCTTTTGTCGGTATTTAGTTTTTTTTTATATAGTTTCTTTTTTCGGTCGTCGATTTGTTGAACGTCAAATACTTTCTAGTAATAGTAATAGTCACTTGTTGGTTTATAATTTATCTATAATATAAGTGGTTGTTTTACATTAAAAAGAAAAGTACATCATCGATTTTGCAAGATAACGCAATGCAACAACATGTGAAAACATATATTCCAAAAGATTTGGGGAGACATTTGTAACTAATATGTTTACGTGTATTTCATTTTAGCTGTTGAAAATAAAATAAATCATTATCCAATCTTTTTTATTGAAAATATATCTACTTTAATTACAAAAATATTATTTCATATTCATACGATTAAACTTGATAATTCTCAAATACATTGAAATTATTGTCGATAAAGAATTTGTAATAAGTTTTTTAAACTTTGTGTAAAAAAAACTAACATAATTAAACATATTTATTAGTTTTGTCATCTAGAAAGGACGGTGGAGATCCTCAACAGAGTTCAACCGATAATGCATTTTAATGTTATATTTCCTAAATCCGCAAATGTACAAGAGAATTAGTTTTGCAATCCAGAAATAGCTAGTGATGCAGCTTGTTGTCCGTTTTCCTTCCATCGATATAGTGAAAATCAATCAAACTCGAACTTGGCAGTCATCGGTGGTTATAAGCGGGAAATATGTAAAAAATTCAAAAGTTTTCATTTTCAAATGTTACACCAAAACTTTTGAATTATCAAAGTTTCAAGTTTTAAAAATTTCAAATTTAATAATTTTATTGCAAAATTTTAAAAAATTTCAAATACCTATTTTTTATGATATAATAATTTTTCAAATAATTTTACAAAGTCTAAACCTGAACCTAAAACCCAACACGAAAATAAATGAGTTGACATGACACGACACGATAATTAAACAGGTCGGGTTAAGATCAAGCCTTTTCAATCCGTTTAATGTCTTGACACGACACACAGCCTGTTTGCCAGGTCTAGTTTTTTCTGTTCAAATTTTATGTTTTATGAAGAGTTGCATGGTTTTTTAGTTTAATTTCGGCAAATAGTTTCCTTCCGCAGATTATCTTTTGTTGAGGTGGCAAATGTTACATTTTGGAAATATATCATAACCGAAAAAGCTTGTAGTCGTTGAATGCGAGGTGGTTAATAGTTATATTTTATCATATATTTTCTTGATTGAGATTAGATTTTGTGGACGGTTGATGAATATTTTATTTTTGAAACATATCAACAAAAAAACTCACATTTATAGCCGGCCTTAACATTTTATTTTGAAAAAAAAAAAAAGAAGAAGAAGAAGGAAACATGTTACATGCCTAATTTTCAATAGTGAAGCCCGTCACTTTTTTGTATGAGACGAATATGTAATTTTCACAAATAAAATTAAAACTTTTAAATAATTTCACTAAAATGTTTTTGTTTACACCTTTTAATCATCTTCATACGATTCGAAATTAATTGAGAAAAAGTAAGCATAAATACAAAAAACAGAAATATTAATATAAATTTGAATAAGAAAAAACTTGTTACATGTACACATACAAATACAAAAACAGAAATATAAATATAATTTAAAAGAATACTTTTTTCCTTAAGACTGAATTTGATGTTAATTTTATATGGAAAAAAGGAATGTTGGAAATTTAACGGAGTCCTGCCACAATATGCTTTGAGGTTATTAACCCAATAGAACATTTTACCAACACAATCCCAATAAGTATCAAATTACAAAAATACAAGAGGATATTATTTAAGTGTAAAAAATATGCAAAACAAGAAGCCTGACATGAATTTGGATTCATTGAATAAAGTTAGGATTAAATTTGGATATAATTTCTTGCATTCAACCAAGTAATGAATATGGAAAATACATAACAATTATGAATCGAGCCAAGTAATCCAACACCCCAACAGATCATAGAAGTTATCGTATCCTAGCAGAGCATGCCAGCTAATCTGCTTCCTTTTTGTGCAAAAAATGAAAAACTTGAGTATAAGAAAAGGAGCCATCTGAA